ACACACCTAAAATGCCTATGGAGGCGGAAAGATGACATGTGGCCCAAGTGGGTAACCACAGAGTAAATGAACAGATCAAATGGACAAAGGTTCTCCCAGTCCCAGGTGTGAGGACGACGCCTTTCCTCCACTGCACTGGTCCCATCCAGGTTAGCTAATCCCAGCATCCACTAAAGACTGCCCTAGTTACAAGGAGCTGCACCAAGGTTAGGGCACCTGTGCCTAGATAAATTTCTTTCTAACACAACTTCATTTCCTCATGAAACATAAACCTGCCAATTAGGCTTTCTTTCCCAGGTACACAAGGATGCATCTTCCAAGATGAAGTCAGCTCAACACTAAATTCATGACCTCATGGAATCCTCTCCATAGTCCCCAAGAAGGAAGTGCCATTACCATCTCCATTTTACGGAGGAGAAGATTGAGCTGATGAAGGTTAGGTGACTTACCCAACTAGTGAGAGGCAACAGGATTCAGACCCCGCTATGCTCACTCCAGAGGCCACATTCGTTCCCACTGAGCCCCACTGCCCATCCATGCCCTGCTCTAGGGATGGCATGCTCACTCCTACTCTGTGCCTTCCTTCCTGGTGGGAGTTTCTGCAGCCTTCTGTTGCCTCAAGCCAGGCTCCCAGACAAGGGCAGGTCTTCTCATTTCCATGGCTTAATCCCTTCATTTGCTCCAAGTCTAACCTGAGCAACACTCTTGGGGACCTCTAGGATGGTAGCTAACTAAGGAAATAAACTGCTTCTTCCAGTTATAGCTTCATCCAAAGCAGAAGGGAGCTATTAAAGGCAGTGACAGGACTCGGCCATTTGCAGCCATGCAGCCTGCCCTGCCTGCAAACGCACAACTGCATCAGCTTGGCACCACTCAACGGCACAATTCATTGTACACCTAATTAATAGAATGCAGTATCATGACCCCCTGCAATCTCACACCTCAAAGGATGATCCCAACACACCTCCCTCACACAGACCAGCAGACTCTCACCATATGACTTCATTTGGATTCTTGGACAAGTTATGTAACTGCCCTGTGCTTCAACACCACCACCGATGAACAGCAACGTTTTGGGCCCCAGCCGAAAGCAACTGGGTGAAGGCGAAGGACTTTCAGTTTTCAGCCTGATTGCAGATAGGGAAATACAAGAATCTCTCTCCTCCAGCCACATAAACCAGCTCACACAGTGTTCAGGGAATTGGCTTTCCTTCGAAGGGCCCAGGGAATCCAGCACTAACATGCTTACCCATAATTACAGCTAAGAAGAAGTGAGGATTTTTGCATGATATGAACGGGGATTCTACCTTCTCAGACTGATGGACAGCCTGTCTTCTGGGTGCTTCAGAATATAACTTCCTCATCCATCTGGCCTGTCTACCTATCTCATTCTGGGAGCTCCTGGGCTCTTGGGATGAGGATCAAAGCCTCTTGACCAGCACAATTCTCAAAGGAAAGTCAGGGGGTGTTTTCCATACTCTCAAAGGCCAAGGCATGGGAAGGGGTCTCAAACAGGCTCACAGTCACTGCCAGTTTTTCCCCAGAGTCACAGCTGATCAGTCATTTCCTAATATCCCCAGGGAAATGATGGCTGCAGATACTAATAACACTGTCCATATTCTGAGTGCCAATGCCAATAATGTTCTGGGCATTATCACTGTGAGCACCAATAACTACTGCTGAGATTGTCTCCAATAACGCCAGCACGCACTGCAGTGATTGTCCTCACTAATGCCCATCACCGTGACATTGTTAGAGCTGAAGAATAGGCTGAACTGTACCCAGAGCAAAAGAGGAGCAGCTTCCTGGAGGACAAAGAGGTTCACAGCTTGCCCTCAGGGTAAGACACTCCTAGGAAGATGCCACAGTGCTTGAGGCCAAAGGAGGGCCAGTCTGGCAGGGTCTTTAAGGGTCCTCCTGGAGGGAGATGAGCCCCTCCATTCCCTCTAGGGTCTAGCCCTTTGATGTGCATCCTCAGTCCCATCCCAACACCCCTCAGTTCCCCATCAGTGTTCTCTTTTGCTGCAGTCCTGGCCCAGTCACTGAAGGACACACCTGGGTGTCTGCAGCCCATGCCCGAGGCTGCCTTCTGTGACTGGCCTGCCAGCTGCTTTGCTACCTTGGCCTGACTGCAGAGTTGGGCTACATCATCTTGACACATAATTATCTCCCCTATTCTTAATCATCTGAGCTGCTCCCTAATGCAAACTGGGCCTGGCTGCTTAGAAGCAACCAGAGTGGGGGAAACGGGAGGAGGGGCTGCCACAGCTTTACCTTTGCTCTCTCCTCTCCCTTCCCACCGGGGGCTGGTGGATCAGGATTGGAGGGGGACGTCAGGGAGAACTGGTCTCCCTCATAGGCCTGGCCTCCACCAGGGAAAATACAACTCCATTTGGCCTGGGGTTGGTTAAGAGGAGTTGGTAAGAGGAGGAGAAGTGTCTCTCAAAAAAAAAGTGCAGCCTCTGATATTTCTTGACACCTGGATAGGCTCAGCAGGTAAATGTTTCAGAGGAAACTTGGGGGCCCCATAATCTCTTGCTTTGAAGACTTCCACTGCTTCGTGCAACATGGCCCTGGTGCATCACTGTCACACTGCTGGAGCATGAGCTTCCCAAACCCAGCCCTGCTCCTGTCCCTTCCTGCTCAGACTACTCCTGCCTTCAGAAAAAAAAAAAAAAAAAAGGCCCAAACTCCTTCTATGGTCTAGACCTGGCCTCCTATCCTGTAGCCTTAACCTGTCTCCTCAGCCTTACTGTCCACCACATCTCTTTGTGCCTTCTATCCCTGCCAAAGCTGCCCTGCAGCGGTTGGTCAAAGGGCCTTCTGGTCACAAGGCTCAGTCTATCAGATAGAATTTCAGGTTACCATTGTCTCTGAACATTCTCCTCTTCATCCCTCAGGCCCCTCTTCAAAGAGCAGCCCTTCCTGGCCATGTACTCCCTCCCCAGCCCAGTTCCTGTGGCCCGCCATCTAGACCTCCATCGCAACAGGGTATCTGATGGGCCTATCTGCTCTTTGGGCTCACATGTTTAACATGCCCCACTAGAATGTAAGCTCCTTAAGGACAAGAATCATATCTTGTTCTGCTTTGGGATCCTATAGTACCAAGCCTTTCTTGAAACTGATGTCCAGGAAAGGTTCACTGAACTGAACTGATTAGAAACAATGAAAGCGATCAACCGCTCAGGAGAGCACCCTGTTCTGGGCCAGCCAGGTGCAGCCCTGGGTGACCACAGCCTCATGCCAGTGCCTCCATATCCCCCGCCTTTCTTGCCCCACAGGAGCCCATGCAGAGGGCATACTTGGCCACAAGGTTGGCATACTTGGCCACAGCCTCAGACTGAAAAGGGAGATTACAGAGGGGCATCTGTGGCCTCCCATGGGCCGCTGGGCCTCTCACCCCCTAAAAAACCCAGGGGCTGCTGGTTAAGGGAGAGACCTTTAGGGTTTGAGGCAGATTCTACCAAAGAACTCGGGGTGCCAAGGAGCTTGGCCAAGGCCTGAGCATGGGGAGCCTCAGGGAGAATTGGGACTTAGGGCCTTTCCCACAACCTCCCCCTGCCCATCAGAGGCTGCCGCCAAAACAACCACAATGAAATTTAGTGAATGGCAAAGGCCGTGGCAGCCAAATCGGTTTGGATATTTTGGAAGAAGGAGAAATAGAGCCAGACAAGCTGTTTCCCTGTGAAACAAGGCCATTAGGGCTTCTGGAAGGAGGCCAGCGCCAGGTCATCACTGTCTTGCCAGGCCTAGGCCTCCCCTCCACGCTGTCCCTTCCACTGGGGGCCAGGCTTCTCCCACTCTCTTCCCTCAGCCTAGGCCGGGGGATCTTGGACTGTGGGCCCAGGCAAGCTCAGCGTTGTCCCTTTTCTCTGCTCCTCACTCCATTAGGCTTCCCCTACCGAGGGTTTGTCTATGTGTGGAATGACCAGATAATTTATTGTCCAAACAGGACATTTCTAAGAGAAAAGGGAGATGCTGAGATGCTGACTGGCCAAGACGCAGAGACAACAGGCATAAATTGGGACTGTCCTGGGCTAACGGAATAGATGGTCACCCCTTTACGCTCATTGTCTGAGGATTCTGTCTCTTTCCTGGGAGATGTCTTTAAAATCCTCTGAAGGCCAGGAGGTTACCACTTCTCCAGAGGGAACCATGAGAAAATGGGGGCAGAAAGCAGGCCGGAGACACTGGTGTCTCTGTTGGTCTGGGTCTGCCAGCTCTGTGCCCCAGCTTCACGCATCAGAAGAGAACCAGATGGTAACCAAGAGACCCCCAATGTCATGACATTTGAAAAACACTTTGTCCCAGGCTCATCCCCACCACTCTCCCCCTTATGTCTTTTCTTCTCTCCTCTTCCTCTTCCTTCCCCATTCCCTTTGACACCCTTCCTAACAGCTTGGCTGCACCTTGAGGCATTCCAGGGAGGTGAGGGAGAGGGCCAGGGGATTTGGAGTGGCATCTCTACTCATGGAGAAGAAGAGGAGAGAGGGGTCCCATGTTCAGCTCCCTGTGAGGTTTGAACCGGGGATGGTGTGCATGTGTTAAAGAGAAAGGACACCAGGGTTGGCTGCACATGACATCACTCCCTCACCTCCGGACAGATTGGGATCATGTAAGGACAAGGTAGGTTGGCCTTTCATCCTCAGGTCAGAGACCAGGTGTTCCCCCAACTCCAAAACCTTCCCAAGGTAAACAGTTCCTGCTTCTCCTCCTGGCATCCCACAGGGATCAACAGGGTGAGCCCTAGTGGCAGGTGAGGCAGCCTGGGCTGCTGAGCAGATGGTGAAGCTGATGGCCTCACCAGCAGCCACCCTCCCTCTCTCCAGGAGCCAGCAGGGCAGTTGGGGGACCTGGGCTTTGCTACTAAAATTGATCTTACAGCAGAGCAGCTGCAAGGCCGGGCCGAAACCGGAGCTTGGAGTCCAAGGACAAAGCATGCGAAGGGGAAGCCACACCTCTTCCCTCCTCCCTACCTTCATCACGTTTCCTCTTCTCACCATTGGAGCGAGGAATCCCCAGGATCCCATTGATGGAGTAGGATCCCACTGGGTCATTGGAGGCGCTGGAAACAGGAGGGGAGGCCGTGCTGGGAACTGGATGAAAAGAAGGAGGAAATGGCATCAGGATAGCAGTTGTGATCGTAGGCCAAAGCCCCAAGGCTCGGGGGCAGAGAGAAGCAGAGGACATAAGGAGGGATAAGGAGCCCACATTCCTCTTGTTCCTCTACTTCCTCTGGGGTCTATTTAAGAGGGGATTGCATTGCCACGTACAGGCTATTATTCACTTCTGTCCAGCCCTGAGGTAAGTGGTGCCCAGTCAACCCCAGGCCTTCTCTGCAGACCTGTGGATTTCACTGGGGTTCTCAAACTCACTATCCTAAAGACGGATGAAGTACAGGCCCAGGAAACACCAAAGCTGTCTCCATCTAGGCAGCACCTCCATGGTCCTCTAGAGAGCACAGCTCTTTGGATACCCCCTTGCACAGCTCATCCAGTCCCTGGAGTTGGGCAAACCCTTCTAATGAAGACCCAGCTCATTGTTCTCAGTCTCCTGGGCTGAGTCTTTACCAATCCTGATTTAAAGTCTGTGGCTTTCTAAGATCTGTCTCTGATTCTCTAGGGGACACAAGACTGGTCCTGATGTTCCCCAGGAGTGTGCAATTCTCTTTCTCAGCTGCTTTTGGTCTTGAAATCACTTGAGAAACTCCTAATTTCCCCCTTAGGGCACAGATTAGTGAACCCATTCACTCCATGGTGATCAACTCAGGTACAGCCTGGCCCAACCCTCCCTCCCAGCACACACTGTAACACTGGCCTAGTAAACAACAGCTCCTGCCAACTCCTGGAGGGCTGGAACTAGCCATTTCTATTACCTGCTGGTCAAGAAAGAAGGGGACAACTGCCAAGAGGAGCAGCAGGAAAAATGTAACCACATCCCAGCCCCTCAAACCCCAGGCCTCATCTATGGCTACAGTAGCACCAAGTTTCTCCTTGGGCCAGAGGGAAGCTAGTCTATGTGCGCTGGGGACAGAGGAGGAGTGTTAGCAGGTGTTCTAGTAGGCCTGGGTCACGTCTCCGAGAGGCCCTAAGCATGGCTCAAAGAATCAGGAGGATGGAGAGAGGAAGAGAGATACAGAGTGGGTGAGACAGAGGTTGAGCAATCAAGAGAGAAAGGCCAAGAGGAAAGAGGCCATGAGGAAGGAGGGAGACAGAACAGAGCCAGAGCTACACCTAAGAGAGAAGACAGGGAAGGGCAGAAGGAGAAAAGAAGAGGAGGCAAGGGGAGAAGACAGAAGGACAATGTTAAGAACAAGATGGAATGTTAAACAAAGATGGAATAAGAAAGTTGATATGAAAGAAAGAGGGCACAGGTAGGGAGACAGAATCAGATAAAAATAAAAGATTATAGAGAAGGAGGGAGAGGGAAGCAGGAGGAGGAGAAGAAGAAGAAGAAGAAATGCTAGAAGGAAAACAGTTAGAGAGAGGAGAGGAGGGGAGAGGATAGGGACTGCCTAAGGCAGGGAAGAGGGAGGTGACAAAGGTGGGAGGCAAAGAACAATCCTAGTAAACCAGTATCTCTCAGGGAGACCCTATGTGGACAGGAGTTCAGGCGAGAGGAGTTGGCAAATAAGATGGGCCCTGGACCTCAACCGGGCAGGCAGTTCCCAGGGATGGAGCTGCATTTCCTGCCTTTCTCTAGGTGGGATCTGGCTTCCTCCCCTTCCCTGAGCCCTCTTACCAATGGTGTGGCCAGGGGCGGTCACTCCTGTCCCAGCCCCATCCGGCGTTGGGTGGAAAGGCTGCTGAACTTTGGTCCGGATGATTCTGCAACAGCGTCACAACAGCATCACACATCATATGCCCACTCCTACCCCGGCCAATTCCAGCCCAGCCCTGCAAAGGGGCTCTCTCCCAAGTTCCTCAGCGATTTCCTCATCCATCTGCTCCCTGCGTCCCTGCCCTCACTGACTGCTGCAAGGCACAGGGTTTTCCTTCTGTTGGCTCTGCAGATCCAACCTAATGTAGCTCTGGGTGAATGCAGCCTGCCTTATGTCCTGCTATGTGCATCACCCAAATTATTGTTTGATTTTTGGTAGCAAGGATCAGGGCAGCAGACCCAGTGAGCACAGCATTCTTTCTCTTTCTGCAGGGTGAGGACTGCCCTGGTGGCTTGTTGTCCATCTTTCTCTCCTCAACCACACACGCATCTCCTCCTGGTACCAGGACCTCCTGGGATTTGAGATCATTTTGGAGCTGGCTTTCCTACTTGGGGCTGTATCACAGTCCTTCAGAGTTGAGAGGATGAGATGTCCCCATATCCTGAAAGAATGAGAAGTAGCCAGGGAGGGGCTGGGTCACAGGTGACCCTTTGGTCCCCAGGACTCCAACACAGCACACAATCCCCTTGCCAGATGTCAGGTCCTGAACAACCTCCTCTTGAGCCCACTTACTGCCCTCAAACAAGTCAGAGCCTTGTTCCCATATGGCTGGCTGGTTTGCTGGCCTCCTTTTCTGAGGTTCTTACTTGGATTGCGGCTTCTTCGCCAGCCTGATTGAAAGGTCTGGTGCCCTCCCTGTACATCTTGGGGAGAAGGGGCCAAATCAAACATTCCAGGAGCCTGCTTTTCAGGGATCTGAAAAACCCAGGGCTCAGTGATGCCAAAGACCAGTCCCAGGGCCAAGACTGAGGAATGCTCCCCCAACCCACTGGTCAAATGAGGGGCCTTTGGAAGCCACTTTTCTGATAGCATTGCTCTTCCCCACAGAGAGGCATGTGAGCCAAGCTCACCTCAACCAGCCAGGTGAGTCACAAACCATGAACCAAGTCAGCTCTAAAAGCTTTTTCTGAACACTTGCAGGCGTTGGGATAAGCCAGCTCATAGTGCTGGATATGAAGGTGGGGAGGGGAGACTTAACCCCTGAAAAAGCTAAGTTACCAGAGGGAATCAGGTAGTTAGTGTTGGAAAGTTGGAGCGGAGGAACCATTCCCCTTGCAGGAGAGGGAACTGGGGAAGAAGTCGCTGAAGACAGGGAAATTGATGTAGATCTTCAAAGCTGAGTAGGGCTGAAATCAGAGGCACAGAGGATGGCGGAAAGGACACTGGGCTACGTGGCAGGGGCCCTGAGTCCTGCTTCTGATTTTGCATTTAAGAAGCCACATAGCCTTGGTCTCATCTCTCAACTTCTCTGGGCCTCAGTTTCTTCAGCTGTAAATGAAGGGGTTGGACTACAGGATCTCCACTGTCTCTTTCCCCAGTAAAAAATAACTTGATCCTAAGATGAACAAAGAAGTAGAGGGGAGGGCATCACAAGCTGGTGGAAGCAGAAGCCATGCGAACCTGCTGCCTTCTGGGTTAACGCCCAGAGCGGTCAGCCAGAAAGAGTGGAGGCAGGCAAAGGACTAAGAGGAAACAAGGGTGAAAACTTGGATGTGATGAGAACCATCACCATTTTCCACTTACTGAACATCTACTATGTGCTAATATTATACACAATTTATATGACTTATATATATTACTGTTAATTCGCACAACCACCTCCAAAGTAGAGACTATTATCCTCATTTTGCAAATTGAAAACCAAAGCTGAGACAAGTTTAAGTAGCTCACTCAAGATCACACTACTGGCTGGGTGCAGTGGCTCATGCCTGTAATCCCAGCACTTTGGGAGGCCGAGGCAGGCAGATCACGAGGTCAGGAGTTCGAGACCAACCTGACCAACATTGTGAAACACCGTCTCTACTAAAAATACAAAAATTAGCCAGGTGTGGTGGTATGCACCTGTAATCCCAGCTACTCAGGAGACTGAGGCAGGAGAATTGCTTGAACCCAGGAGTTGCAGTGAGCCGAGATTGCACCACTGCACTCCAACCTAGGTGACAGAGTAAGACTCCGTCTCAAAAAAAATATCACGGTACCAATTAGGGCAGACTCAGAACGCAGCCTCTAAAATCTATGCTTTTTGTTACTTTGTCATCCTGCCCCCAACATGTAGGAACCAGGTTTAGAGGGTCTTAAACCATGAGTGATTTCTAAACGAGGGGGTATCTGTACAAACAGATCCCAGTAAAGCAACATACATATACATGAGGCATGAGGCGATATGGAGCTGGTCTCAGGAAAGAAAGGGAAGAATTTGCAAGACAAGAGGAAGGCAGAATGGCCGGAGTTTGGCAACCAACTGGAGTCAACCATGGCTTTACAACCTCAGTTTTGTGTAACTGGAAGTTTGGTGGAGTTTACATCAGCAGGTCAGGAATAAGGCTGTAGGGAGGTGACTGGTGTTGGAGGGAAGTGGTAGCGTTGGTCCTAGATGTGCAGCATTTGAGATGAAAGAGGAGCGTCCAGGTGCAATGCCCCTGCATCAGCAGGCAAAGAGGTATGGATTTAGGAGACTGTCAGGGACCAGGGAAAGGAGTATTTAAAAGACAAGAGGCCTAAGGAGTGGATACTGGAGGACATTTACTTCCAGGGACTGGGAAAAGAAACTGACCTTGCCTAGGAGTCAGAGAATTGGTTGCACAGGAAATGGCAGACCAAGATAGGTCAGTTTCACCTAAGTCAATGGAGAAGCATGTTTCAAGAAAAACACAACCTGCAGTGCCAACAGCAACGTGGAGACTGAAGGGAATTGGGAACAAGAAGAGGCACAGATTTGGGATTCTGGTGGCCATTAATGGCTTTGAGGAGGAGTCTCAGCAAAGCAAGTGGAGCAGGAGCCAGACAGAACAAGGTTAGGGAATGTATAGGGAGGAAAGCGAGGCAGGCCGGTAAACGGAGAGTATTGCCTCAGAAGTTTTTGGAAAAGGAAAGGACAGGAAAGTGTGGAAGGTGGAGGATGGAATGGGTAGCTAAGTGGAGGGAAGGACTTCCTGGGTAGGCAAGACCTGGATAAGCTTGTAGACTGAGGAGGAAGAACCAGTGAAGAGGAAGAGACTGAAATTGCCTTAGGGACTGTGGATGATTAACAGAGCAAGAGAGAACAAGGAAAAATGGAGTGCAGACTCCAGGGAAGTGTTAGCCAGAGATGGCATATTTTTAGGTGACCAAAGCTTTGAAAAGGAGCTTTTACGGTTTTTATCTCTCAGCAAAGCAGAAGGCAAGGTCATCTCCCAAGAGTTGGAGGGAAGGTTTGGAGTATGATCACAATGGAAAAGATTGGATAGTAGCTGAGAGGTGGTGTACAATCACCTACAAGAAAAGTCTAGAAAGATGCTGAGCAGCTCAGAGTAGCTGCTCCTAGTTTACTGCAGCAAAAGCTTCTGTGAGTTCACTGGGCCTGTGGGTGGCTCTGGCTTGAGGGCTGATGGGCTCTTGACTAAGGGAACCCCAGGGGTGGGGCTGGCTGAGAGAGATAACTGGATGGGCTTGGGGAGTTTCTGTCTTTGTTACCCAGAGCCTCTGACCCCTAGGGCACTGGTGCAAATTTAGCTGAGGCAGCAAGCGATGGAAAATCACTACTCCCTGACAGCGGCTTGGTGGTGCATGGAGGAGGAGCTGGGCAGGGTGCCTGCTGTGAGTTACTAATGCTCTTGGTGTCCATCCATGACCTCAGGCAGTGGGCACTTGCCAGTACCTAGAGCTGATCTCGGAGAATTTAAGAACTGGGATCGTGGAAATCTGATGGTCGTCCATTGTCCTCCTGTCTCCCATACGACTACCCAACAACTCATGGCAATTTCACTTGGGGCTAAAGGATGAATGAAGTAAAGTAGTTGTTGATGATGATGGCCTGATACCATTTCCCCATGTTCCTCCTCCTTCTCCAATTCTTTTTCATACTTGGCCTCACAAGATAGCCAGACACACACCAAACCTCCGTGGCCCCGGGCAGGTTTAGCCTGGAAGGTCAAGTTCTGGATATAGATCCCTGGAGGGTGCAGCCGGGACCCTGGAGGACACAGCTCTGCTCAGAAGCTGGGAGGTGTCATTTTTCCATATCCACAGAGAGACTGCCCTGCCAGGGTGCCCACTCCCCACTTCTCTTTCCTTCACAGGATACTCTTTCTCCTCCACCATTTCTGATGAGAGCTCGCCCTTTCCTGGGGATCTCCAGGGCTTTGGCCAGGGCCCCGCATGGGGACTTCCAGGCACTTAGAGTCTCCCACACTTCCAAGGGAGTGAGAGCAGCAAAAGGAAGAAGGGTATGGGTTCTGGGCTCAGCCTGCCTTAGTCTGAATCCCGGCTTTGTTACTTGTTGCCTGTGAAACCCCTGGCAGTTTCTTTTTCCCTTCTCTGTAAAAGAAGATAATACTACCATACACTTCATAGGACTGTAGTGAGGACTAAATAGGACACTCCATGTAAATTGATTAGTATGATGGTTGGTTCAATAAATGCTACCTATAACAACAATGATGACCAGTATTATTATTCCTACGGGTGACCCCTAGGCCCAGCTGCTTTCAATTTAGGGGCTGAGCCAGATGCAGGCAGGAGACCTCCCTACCCAGTATGCCCCAGACTGGTCAATGCAGGTGCCACTGAGACCCTGGGAAGAGCATTGAGAAGACGAGAAACTGCAGCAGCGGTGGCAACATCCGACCCAAAAGGAGGTTGCGTCAGACTCTGAAGAAGACAGACTGGGGACTGGACCAAGCCCCACTGGGGTCACTGGCAAGGATCCACAGGGTACCCAAGGGATGGCAGGGGGTCGTGGCAGGACTTTAGAGCAAAGGATGACAGGGCAGGTGGGGAGGCCACTCCCTCATTGGTTAAATTCCTGGAAGACCCCCACCTCTCACCACCTTGGATATCAACACCATCTCAGGCTCTGTGAGTAAGAATGAAAGCCCTGTATGAGACTCCTATTAACACTGCGTTAGA